CCCCAGGGGTCATTGATTTCCCTTATATATGTGTATAGCAAAAACTTAAAAATTTTCTTTGAAAAAAAAATAGGTAGAGTTTAGAGATAAGGCATGAAACATCTTCTAGTAAGTGCCTACAAATTTTGTTCAGAAAAAAAGCCCTGGGGTCAAAACTGGCCCGCCCCAGGGATGTTATTGTTTTTAACTATATGTGTATAGTGAAAACATAAAAATATTCTTTTAAAAAACCCAATGAGTTAGAGCTAAGATGTTTAGCATGAAACATCTTCTTATGGGTGTCCACTGTCAGGAGAAATGTCTGCCTTGATGTTATTTAATCTAAGGAAAGATTTAGTAATAAATACTAGAAGCAATTTCCAAGATATGGGAGCTGGGCAGCACCGCCTGACATAAAAGTGAAATATTCTCAGTTGGAAAACTAGCATGTAATTGTTTAGTTAACACTATTTTTTTAGGTATTTTTATCTTTTTCTATCTCAAATCAATATATACATTTAAACAACAAACTCTGATTATTATTTACACCCAAAACAAAGAACTTTGATCATTATTTACACCCAAAACAAACACACATCATTTATCAACCACTTATACGTAATATCTTTTCACGTATACGTCTTTTATAACAACAACAACAACACATCTTTTATTCACTCAAACATGCATACAACATGTAATATGAGGATAATGTCAAAAAAATTAACTAGGCATTTATACAAATTGAGATCAGAATATAATTACTAAACAATATCAACATATCTATTACATATTATTAAATTATATGCATATTTTGCTTAGGAAACAATTTTTTTTTACTTATTAAGAAAATGCAAACCTGAATTTTACAACATTCAAATACTGCTTGAACAAAATGTAAGATATTTATTACTAGGAGAATGTAGCTATAAATGTGATATAATTTGTCATAAAAGTTGTAAAATAGATAAAGTAATATTTTAACTTCCATACAAAATGCTTATTTACTATACTTGTATTTATTTCTAAAATGCAAATTTTGAAATGAAAGATGATTCATGAAATAAACCAGTGATTAATCGTTTAATACTATAAAAGTACAGCAAAAACTTAGTCTTAGGAGAAATGAAAAAAAAAGTATATGTGAGGTATAAAGGACATTTGCTGTATAGTAAGAAAGTGGTAAGTGAATATCATTAAAACAAAACTATATCTCAGAACATTACAATAACAACTGACTTTAAATTGAAAACATAAATATTTGATTACATTCTTACATTTCTTATAATAATCATTAAGAATTTGCATAGTTTATAAAATGCAGGCGAATCTTTCATTGTAAAAAGTTGTTCTAATTTATACATATTAGGACGTCTATAAAAATATGGTTTTATAAATTGTCTTCTTTCATTAGAAAATCTATTACATTCGAAAGATAATGAAACTCATCACCGATTATATTTCTACAAAAAATGCACGAATACGAAACAATACTAGACACCTGGCGAGCCCAAGCTCTAAACAACTTATGACCAAACAAAACAATAAAATCACCACAAAATGAAGAACACAAAAAATGAATATTTTTACAACTCTAAGATACAGTATAAACCACAAACATTCATCCAACAATATTAACTTCACACAATCTAATCAGCATCAGAAAACAACTTAAACTAAAGCACCCAATATTTACATATATATCTTGACCAGACATTTTTTACTTTCAACCAATATCAACCAATTATATCTTCACAAACAGATATAACTCAACAACCAAAACAACTAATTACAACCAATAAACCCTGATCAATAAAGATCACCACAATTATATTCAACCAACTTCAACAAACCAACAAAAATCCCTTCAAAACAACAAAATTCTCTTCTCAATAAAAAAATAACCGCTACACACTATCAGCGTGATGTAAAATCTCTCTCAAAACGCGCATGTTTGCTAGCTTTAAACAGCGACTGGTTTAAACATGATATTTACACTCTATTCAAAACAAGTAAAATGGTTTCCTGCGGTGAACATTTTAATGATGTAAATATATTTCATTTAACTATTTTCAACATTATTGGGAGGAGGGATAAATAAACGTTTGTATCAGGAATATAGTTGACAATTGAATAAACGATCAATATAGAAGAAGGTGACAGTTGAAGATCGGAGAAGGTCGAACATAAAACAATTATTTCTTTTTAAGAAAATGATTAAATAGGCCTACCATTTTATGAATAATTCCGAGCAAAAAATAAATAAAGTAAACACACAAGTTTACGTAGCAAATATCTCTATTTATTATGGCAGATGCCACTACGAATATTTTAATTTTGTAGATTTTCAGTATAAACAATTTATTGTTTGCAAAATTTGAGATAGATATTAAAGATACATTGATAATTTACAAACATTTCCACCTTAAACGGTAAAATAATTATAGAAAATTAGAAATATCACGTATTAGTTTTTTTGTTTTTAATACACCCATATGAACTAGGTAAATAACCGAGGTGTATCGAGTGAAAAAATACGAGTTAATTCCCTTATCTTCGAGTAAAATTGGTATCTCATACGCTAAAACAATACAATTTAAGCCATTTTTAAACCGCCAGTTTGTTGTGATTAAATGTCCGATTTTAAAAATTATTACATCAATGGAAAGCTTGGGATCTTAGCTTTGTCACATATAATTTTTCATATCTTTTGACACCAAAGTATATAAATTAACTGTTAAACCTACCATATCAGCCCATTTTACATACGATTTATATAGTGAGATACACAACCGGTTATCTTTAGGGGGCAGGGGACCTAAAAATGAAAAATTTTGTATTTCAGTGTGACCAGAAACACAATTCCAAATATTTCAAAATATGTTTCACAGGCAGATAACCAGTTGCACAGCATTATTCAATGATATATGACAAACATTGAAAAAAATAATAGTTTGTATGCATTGCTCCTTCAAAAAATGACTGACAGCAATTTATATTTACCCCCACCCAGCCAAAATCACACCTAAAATATACCAATATGGACAATCTTCATGAAGGTGCAGCATACTCCGGAATCCGCCTGATTCCTTTAAAAATATCAGTAACACGCAGTCGTGCCATGGCATTTTCAGAAATGACAAATAAAGTGTCTGTCATACGTTTAGATTTTTCACAAAATTTATCTGAAATTTCTTACTTGTTTGGCGCCAACTGTCAAAGCTTGATTTTTAACTTTTTCACCTCCATTTGGAGAGTCAGAAATACATACAAAGCTACCAAAATGCTTAGTTTCGGGTAAAAACCCAAAAATATATCTCATTTACTACACACAAACAAGAAAGAATTACAATGACAGAGAAATATCAGAAGTTATCAGTACCTTCAAAAAACCATGTCTGAGTTATTAAAAAAAATGACCGGGGCCATCATTCGAATATGTCCCCTGCCCCCTTACTCGAAAACCTACTGATAAGAAAAGTCGGTCGTCTGCTAGTTGGGGAAAGTGTTTATCGGTTTAATTCGGACTAAGTCCCTACATGTAAATCCGTAACGTACCGGCAAACGATATTTAGCTAGGTTTTCGAAAAGGTCAATTAACCAATCATGTACGGTTTACAGATCACATGCTCCTCAATGTACCGAAAACAGGTCACGTGCTCCTCCATGCTTCAAAAGTTAAACGCGTACCAATACCCTGCGGTCTCCAGACCGCAGGGAACAATGTATCACTGTAAAGAAATATTAACTCGTTGTTTCATCTACAACAATATATCACTGTAGGAATCATCTACAACAATATATCACTGTAGGGAAATATTAACTCGTTGTAAGATACATACATGTATCTTGATTATTCTGACATCTACCAAGTTTGTTCAAATAAAAGCCCTTGGGTTAAAATTGGCCCTGCCAATTGGGGGGGGGGGGTAAGATCGTTGTTTTTCATTATATGTGTGTAGTAAAAACTTAACATTGTGAAACATCTTCTAATGGGTGACTCTTCCGAGTCTGTTCAAATAAAAGCCCTGGGGTTTAAACTGGCCCAGCTCCGGAGCCTATATACAGGTGAGCGACCTCAGGGCCATCATGGCCCTCTTGTTGGTTTAAAAAGGGTAGAGAAGAAAATCAATAGAGGAAATTGTAGCCTGTCACATTTTAAACGTTATTCTTTTTAATGGAAAATAAGACGTTTAGATTTTAAAGTTTGTTGCAAAAAAAAATTAAGGAAAAAATAAGGTACTTGAGTATGTAAGATTTTTACCTTATTTTTAAATCATATAATAATATAAAGGAATTCATAAACAATTAATTCGGCTATTTAAGAATGTTATCAATATATTGTAAATTTTATCTAGATTTTTATTACTACAGTATGTTTTAACCCCTACCACACTTAATATGTAAAATGTATTTGTTCATATTTCAATATCATAAGTCAAGTTAATTTATCTTTTTTAAGGAAATTTTCAAAATATTATGTACTGACTTAGTAGCAAAATGTGCAGATCATGATCAGTCTGTACAAAATTGTGCCGCCTAATCTTGATCTACACTTGTTGCAAAGGCACCACTTGCAGACGAATAGTTAAATACATGTTGATAATTAACTAAATAGCATAAATGAATTTTCAAGGCATTGTAAAATATTTGTAAATGCGTAAATACTTTAATTTAATTCGCTACATTCAAGATAAAGAAAGTTATGCATTGCTTATAAGTTTTTTTATTATGATATTCAGAACAGGGACAAATCTGTCATTTTTCATTATATATACTGACTTATTCATTTGAATGTCAATAGAATATTCAACAATGACAGCCTGTTTTACAACTTTTAGTTCTTAATTCAATGTTTATATAATTGTTATCAATGTTTTATGACATTGTTGAGTTAAAAATGAGTGTTTTGAACAATTTGCTTTTTGCTGTTGCAACAATTGGTGGTTTAAAATGTGATAAAGTAACTATTTTGTTGTCAGTGAAGAAAGAGAGGTACTTGTTATGTAATTGTGTTTCAGTGTGAGCCTATCAGTGGTTTTGGGTTCCGTCGTGGTGGTTACCAGTGTGTGTGTTTACCAGGTTACTATTACCCTTCGTCTCATGATGGTCCGTTCCAGGGATGGGAGATTGAGCGAGCTACACTGGATGAATATGAACGTGGATTTGACTGTCTCAAAGCTGAAGGTAAGTTTATGTGGTTTATATCAAATTGTCTTACATTTCTGTCCTCTGAATTTTTTAAATAGTTTCAATTTTAGAGAGATATTGTTATATAGGAGTAAGGATTTATGACTCTTATTTTTTTGTGGAAGGCTTCTAGGTGAAAGAATTAAGGTTTACTAAAAAGTTTTGTTCGAGCTGTATATTATATAATGGTTTTTGATATTTTCAGAATTTTAAAGTCTCGCTATTAATTTACTTGTACAAATGTTAAATTACAAAGTTTTCTTCTTTTTATGTTAACTTATTTTAGTGTATGTTTTATCAATTGATGTATATTAACATAATTTTTTATGAAAGGGATGCAAGTTGTACCAAATAAGATGCCAGAGTTTGTACGTAAAAAGAAAAGATCAACATTGTATACAGCAACTAAGAAAGATGAGTTTTTGCTACTTACCAGTCCAATGTTAGAGCAGTCTGCTTCTCCTAAACTTAGACTGGTTGCCAACAGAAAGCGTCGCAGTGCCAATGGTAATAAAGAATATGTGACAGCAACTTATACAAAGCAGTTTGTAAGACGATATGATGGCGAGACAAAGAAATTTCGTAAGAAGAGAGAAGCCTTTGAGTACGAGTCATGGGAAAAAATGTCTAACATTCGACAGAGGTTCTTAAATGTGACTAAAGAAAGCTGCAGGTCAAAGGAATTTTTTGAACTTTATTTACCTGGTGATGCTGGATATGGTGTGGAGAGACAGTTTGAGGCTCAAGGTAGAACTGCTCTACGTTTATCACATTTCCTTAGTAACTACTTACAGAACGTTGAATATGAGCAATTTGGTAATCTTAAAGGAGACAGAGGACTGAATGAGACCCATATATTTGGTGAAGTTTTGGCTACGGCTATGGGTGATTTCAAGGTCCTTGGTGCTGGTGCCTACTTTGACCAGTACAAGTTCCAAGTTTCCCCACCAGTTATTACTACAGATCCAAGATACTCTAATGCAATCACCAGAGAATTCTTTGGACCATTCTCATGGCGAATACAGAACCCTGGTGATGGTCTTGATGCTTTTAGAGCCATAGATTCTGCAGGAATCGCAGCTTATAGATACATAGATGAGCCTTGGTTTAGAAAAATGAAGCAAAGATGGGCGACGAATTTCCACAGTCTGAAGAAGTTTATTTACAAACAAATGATACGTTCCAGTCCTAATTCAACAAGTTCCATCCGATTTGAACATTATCCAATCACATATAGCGCACCCAGCTATGAAGATGGTGAATGGTCTAGACCCGAGTTCAAGTGTGACGGTTATATTGATGACTGGGTGTCAACCTACACAGTTCCTTTTTTTGGTTTAAACAGCGACAAGTCACAGATAGAATTTAAGTAAGTTTATGTTTGTATAGATGTTTGGTTCAAAATAGATTGCCAGAACATCAGACAAGGAAGTTAATCTGTATAGTATAAGTTACTATTAAAACCGACCAGAGACGGAACAGAATTACCACACGGACTCCGCCCTGAATTACAGTTTAATTTGATACAAGAAATTCTTACATTAAAGTCAGATCAGATTTAAAAAAATACAAACGTTTATTCATTTTAATTTATATTCTGTTAATGATTAAATTCGTTTCTGGAATGATTTAAAATTGTCTGCAGTTAAATTAATTGATTTGATGTGAATATAGGAAGAATTAGATTTAAAAATAAAAAAGTAACGATACACTCTACATGTATATAATTGCAATTTATCCTATAAATATAAGTGAACGGAAACAGGCTTAAATTCACCAGAATTAGTTTTGTAATATTGTGTTATTTAAATATTACAGGGGAGTGGTAAGAATTCACGTCAAGTTGAAATATCTTGACATTAACCAATGTCCAGCAGATATCTATGTGGCCAATGCCTTCAAAAATACAGCAAAATGTGATTTCAGATCACAATATGTGAGTCCAAAATATATTTGTTCTAAAGTTTCTATAATATTATATGAATTGTTCATTTAGACAGTAACAGATGAATTGCCCTTAATTTGTGAAGTTAAATCTCAAAAATGTCTAGTTTTTGGGTATTTTCTTATGTACAAATGGATATAAGTGTAACTTTAATTGTAATTGTTTTAAATGAATGCGATTTAAATGAACATATATGTAGACAGACAAAATTTCTATATATATCAACATCTTGTTGTATAAAGGTAACTGTAAAGATATTTATCAGGACACGTGGATTAATTTATATCAGGGACTGTAAAATGTTTTCAGGGACACTTGTCCTGCAGGATACTAAATTCTATGAACAGGCTACATTTTCCTACTCGAGCTGCTGCAAATTCTCTCAAATTCATTTATTAATACTCTAGTTGATGAGTTTAATTCTTGTATATAGATATGTCTATAAATATATACAGAAACATCAATAGTTATTATCTCCAATTTCTACATTCTTTTATCCATCCTGAACTCAAGTATTTATTACAGGTACTTTAAATGTAAATATTTTACAAATCCAATAGCAGATATATATTCTGCGACAATCAGAGAACAAGAGTATACCACCAGTGTGCAGGCTAACACAGAAGAAAAGAGGGATTGAGCAGTCTTGTCTGGGCACTGGCAGATTAATTATAGTCACGTAACTGTCACTGTGCTTGTTCTCTGATGGCAAAACTAGACTGTTGCTGTGGCAACATTACAGAAGCTTTAGGTCATCCAAGAGTAACATATTGGACACCATGTGGCTGTTTATAACTGTTTCTTCGTTGTGATAAAAACAATTATGCAGTAGTAACTTTTGGTGTAGATTTTATTCTTAAATAGTAAAGAGTCTTTAATTTCCTTTATATGATTCCAGTGTGTGCCTCTGCAAGGCAAAGGGTTTGAGCAAGGTGCTTACAAGTGTGTGTGTCGTCAAGGTTACGTTTATCCATTTACTGACCTCTCATGGTTCTTTCACGGTCAGACAATGGAAGATGAGTATTCAAAGAAAAGTCTTGGTGAGCCGAACAGGTACATAAGTTTAAACATTTGATTTGTGTATGATAATTCAAAATTAGCATCAACAAAAGTGCTTTTGTTAGGGGATGTTATGCTCTAACTTTGAATCTGCTTGTTGTAAGATTGAAATCGTTAATGATCTTTGATATTACTGATAGGTGTTTAAAAAATAAAAAGAAGATATGATTAAATCCAATATATCATTGGCTTTTTTGTGTCGCATCTACGGAGTAGTAGCGACATATAGGGATCACTTCTCCGTTGTATGTCTGTCCGTCCGTCTGTCTGTCCGTCCGTCCGTCACAAAACTTGTCCGGACTACTCCTCATAAACTACTGGTGCAATTTTATCCAAACTTTACAGTAATGATCTAGTTGTGCATACTATCAGCATTTTCCGGTTTGAACAATGATTTTTGTCAGAGTTATGGCCCTTTAATAATTTCTATTTTTAAAGTTTGTCCGGACTACTTCTCTTATACCACTAAAGCAATTTCAATGAAACTTTACAGGATTGATCTGTAGCTCAAGTCCTTGCGCATATTGCACGGGTTTTGCGGTTGAATGTTTTTTGGCCGAGTTATGGCCCTTTGATAAAAAGGTCTTTTTTTCTGTGTGTTGCCAGATATGCAAAAGCTTGTCCGGACTACTCATAAACTACTGGTGCAATTTTATCCAAACTTTACAGGAATGATCAGTACCAAGTCTACTTGTGCACTGTCCGTCTGTCTGTCCGTCTGTCACAAATGTTGTCCCAACATGAAATTGGCCATCATGAGGCGACACATGTGATTACTGATCGCTCTTGTGTTTTTGCTCTATGATCTTTCTATGTATCTTTTTTTTTTTCATTTTGTTTATTAATAAAAGGTATTGTGTTTTCATAAGGATGTCCTGCCCACATACTTGTCTACTAAAAATATTTGAACGAGTTTTGACACTGCAATGTGTAGTGAAATGAAATCTGTCTTTCTTTCAGATATGACACATTGAGGTGCACATCTTCTAGAATAGCTGGAGCAGATGCTGCTATGGCAAATGTTGTCCTCATTGCTTTTACCACACTGTCATTGTTGTTATGGAAACACTGAAAACATAACAACATCTTAAAACATTTCTGTAAATAATTGTTTATAAATTAGACAGAAGTATAGACAAGTCTTCATGTTTATACCTGTAGACATATTACACTGTGATTTCATTTTCATATTGTGACCAAATAATTCATGAAGATTGTACCTTGTGCTTGTTAATCAGGGGTATCATTTTTTTCATTTTTTTTTTCATTCTGCTAAGTAAATTGATGACAGATTTTTATCATACGCATTTAACATTTACACTTCCTTGATTGAATACATTATGGATTATAAACTTTATGTTTACATATATCAATTTAAAAGTGTTTTTAGTCCTGTCATTAGAGTGCCATTTAACATAATACAAATGTATTGTAAATATATGGATTCTACAACTCAGAATTTTGAGTGTATTTTATGTAATATTACTGAATTGCAATTTTACTATATGAACATAAGTTTCGAAACTCTAATTTGTGGCTTAAGATGTTCTGTTCTGTTCTATTTAGAGTACATCTTACTTTCATTTTGTGACATGATTCTATATTGTATAAATAAGAAATTATTTATTTGAATGGTTCATGAATTTATTTGTCATGTGTGCTATATTGATGGTATTGTACATATCGATCAGAGTTCAGTTATATATTCAAGACCTAAGTTTTGTGTAGTTAATTACAAAGCATCTAAAATTTACAACAGCACTGCTGTCAAGATTGCAAATTGTTTTGTATTTCATGTAACCAGGCACATTGATTAATTGGTACATAATTTTAAGGCCAAGTGAACAGGTGTGTGATTTAGTGTGTTATTCTAATTTTTTTAATCACATATAGCTCAACAGACCATTGTCTCTGTTTACTAGGTGAAAATAATACCATTATTTCATAGATCCTGCTCTTAGTCTGATTTTGACTTTTGTTTTTATGCCTTCCTTCCGTCCGTCCGTCCGATTATCTTGTCCGCGCTTTATCTCCAAAATTGCTGGGGGAAATTCAGTGAAATCAGTACCATCCCTAGTTGGATATATCGCTAACACGTTCCGCTCCGCTACACAGAATGGCGCCAGAGATATTAATAGAAATATCGTGTCTGCGCTCCTTCTCCCAAACTGCTAGGGGGATTTCAGTGAAACTTCACCGGAGTGATCAGTATCATCCTTAGTTGTGCTTATTTCGGTCAAATTTTACTCCGCTGCACAAAATGGCCGGCAGAGCTATTAATAGAAAAAAATTGACTGCCCTTCATCTCTAAAACCGCTGGTTTTTTTTTTTTTTTTCAGAGTGATCTGTATCATCCCTAGTTGTACATATCGCCGTCAAGTTCCGTCCCCGCTGCAAAAAATAGCCGCTAGAGCTGTTAAAAATAAAATCTTGTCTGGCTTTCACAGGTTAAACTTATGGTCCGATTTCAATGAAATTCTCAGAATATTGCCGGCACGTTCCACTCCGCTGCACAAAATGGTGACCAGAGCTATAAATAGTAATTAACATCTTGTTGTAAGCAAGTAAGCATAATTTGTTTAGACTATTTCTCCTACACTTTAAATGGAATAAATGAAATTTTAGAAATGATATTATCAAAGGCGGTCGGTCGTATATTACGGGTATTATGGCATGTTTTGTGGATTTTATGTCAAAGCTTCCTATCGCGGGGTCATCAGTCACTTTTTAGTGACAGCTCTTGTTTCCTTCTCATTTATACATTTTTAATTACCACCTTTATAACTGTATATAGTTAAAAAACAACATTTATATCATTTAAGCATATATATAGCATTCGATTTATATCTGATCTGTACTTACTCATAGATATGTATGTTAGCTGATTTTTTGTAGTGTTTAACACTGCTTTGTACTTGATTCCAAATCTGAGGGGAGTGGTTAAGGTCGTTGACTTCAAACCATTTGCCCCTCACCGCTGTGGGTTCGAATCCCGACATGGACTTTGGATTCTTTCACGAGAGAAAGCTATCCAGCTAGCTTACGGATCGTCGGTGGTTCTACTCAGGTGCCCGTTCGAGCCTGAAATAATGCACGGAAGGGCACCTGAGGTCTTCCAACGTCGCCAAATGACCTATACTGTGTCGATGTGACGTTAAACCCAAAACAAAACAAAAACAAATCTGAGTTTCCTTTGTAAAAGAAAATCAATGGGCAAATAGACCTTCATGTACCTACCAATTTTGAGTAAGACAAATCAAAGAAATAAGTGTCATTTCATATGAATATTTCAAAGAAATTGAACTTGAGTCTTAAATTGCTTTTTGAAGGAATTGCTTGTAGGAAATTTAGTTACTGATTTATGCTTTTAATTGCAGTTAACAAATTCACTAACAATAAAATCATTTACCATTCAGGGAGAAAATAGATAAAGGTTTATCTATAATTTAAGCAGTTTTTATAAAGGTTATATCAATATATATATATATATATATATATATATATATATATATATAATATATATATATATATATATATATATATATTGGGTACATGTCAGTGCTTTGTAAATTTTAGTATGAAATTGTTTATATATAATTATCATGACATTATGGAAAGGATGTGAAAGAGTGATACTTTTGTATATAGTTAAATATGTTTTATATATTGTACAGCTAATATTAATAAATATTAATCTAATAGGAAATACTTTTTTTTCTATTTGTATTATAAGAATAGTAGGGGTTATTTTAGTCACATTAGTGTCAGAGTCCATGCTGTTCGCTATCAGTTTCTCTACTTGTTATAGGGTTTGTAAGCGAACAGCATGGATCCTGATCAGACTGCGCGGATGCGCAGGCTGGGCTGGATCCATACTGGTCGTAAACCCATTATGTTGGTTTTGTCGTGATGAGGCTCATTTATCGAGTAAACACTTGATCAGTTATTATTGCCTTTCTTAAGGTTTACAACCAACCAATGAGCATGACTACTGTGCTTATGTTACAATGACTATGTATGCTATATTTTTCAATTTCAGCTAATGAGAACAGCTCTGATTCATGAATGTATCAGCTGATTTAGTTCAACTACATTGTCAACCTCTGTTCAAACAGATAATTGATCAGTCTTTAAAATGTAAATAAAAAAATAAATAAAGAAAACAAAAGCATGTTTGAAGTTTATTTAACTTGGATTTCTTTAATTGTTGATAACAATACAAGACAAAAATAACATTTCCCCAAGTGTGAAAATAACATTTACATAAAACAATCTTGACATCTGCTAAAATAGTGTTCAACAAAACAAGATGTTATCGGTAAATAATTCTTTCAAACAAATCTTTTTAAGTAATTGAACAAGATAGAATGAATTTTGACAAAATATTTACATGCAGACCAGAGTATAAAATTTATCGTTCCTCTTATCTATGAAAAAAAAACTAAACAAATTTGTTTTTTATTTTTTATTTCATTAAATTTTTCAAGCAATGCTGCGTAACATACACAACTGCATTAGAGAAATTAAAATGTTACAATGTCTTTAACCAATAATCCCAAACTACTTTAAAAATGACACAATCTTAAGATATAAACAAGGCATTCTGAAGGACAGCTAAATCCTCTTCCACAGCGGACAGGAATGTGAAGGTCTTGACCTTTAACCAACCATGGCAGAACAGAATATTTATTTTGACTTAAGCATATACAGCTTATCATCAATCATGAAAATATGATACATGTACAATTGTACATTCAGACGCATGCAAATGAAAATGGCAAAACAAGTTGTCAGTTGCATAGAAGGAAGATTATATACAATGTATTAAAATCAGTAAGCATAAAATAAAATTGGCAAATATATATTACACACAGGCCAACATTTGATATTATTAAACTTCAAGATTAATGTGATTGTTTCTTACTTTCAGAGCTCTTGAAATAAATATTGACAGTCTACATAATATTTTGAGATTATTACAATCTAACAGTTCAATAAACTTAAACATGTTAGGACGATTTCTGAAATAGTACGGAATATATAATTTTCTCAAGTCCTTATACTTCTCACATATACACACAAAATGAAATTCGTCTTCAATATCGTCTTTGGTACATATAACACACTTTCGTTCACTTCTTATCTGGTTTCTATGGCGACCCTGCTCTATGGCTAAACAGTGCGAAGAAAGTCTAAATTTAGCCAAGACATTTCTGAATTTGTTATTATTAAGTATTGTCAAGTATTCAGACATTCCAAAAGTTTGTTTAATTTCTTTATATAGAGTCAATGCCGTTGAAATGTTTACTGCCTCTCTCCACTGTCCTTTATAAATGTCTTGAAGCCTAAGCTAAAACTGTGTAATAAAGCACTCTATGTTAACAACAGATGCAGGAAAACACCAGATATCATTTAACCCCGTCTCTTGCAACATAATCTTGACTTTTGATAACCAATTGTTTTGTAAATCATGTGACTCAAATAGAAAATTATAAACAGAATATAAAATACAATTCTTATCATGTGAATTTAATAGTTTGAAAAAATATTTTATTATTTTTACTTTTCTGTTTAAAATTAACGGAAACCGTCCCGTTTCACCATAAAGTGCATAACAGTTCGTACTCATTTTTACATCCAATGTCAATTTAAGATATTTTCGATATAAGTCGCTCTAGTCTTTCTGCTTGACTAAATCTAGTCCAACTAATTGTACTCCGCGACGAGATATTGTGCTATTTTCGTGTCCTGGCAATATCTCGCCTCTACGTTAAAGCGAGATTCTGCCCCAGAACGAAAATATCTCAGAATCAAGCTTTGTCACGTCAATATATTTTGACTACAGAACAGTATGACATTATAGATGTTACATAAGCATCAAAAAAGGTTAAAGTTTATATGTAGTGGTATTTGCATCCCTCGAGTGATGTTTTTGAGAGTTAAGAGCTTTATCTGCTAATGCATCTATTCCTTTTCGAAATGAACCACCACTGCTCATTACAAAGCCTTGGTAATTAAAGCTTTTAACAATGTCTATGGTCTGGCCGTTATTTGTCCAAGCCTGACTTCTTGGTAATTGCATGACCACTCTTTCGGAATACCATAATTTTAGTCTTTTCAACGTTAACTGTTAGGTGTCATATCTTACAATACGGGTCTAATTGGTTAAGATTTGTTGAGCTTCAGGGGTTTCACTAAGCAATACACTGTCGTCTGCGAAAAGGATTAAGTATATAGAGAACTGGTCTAAAGATAATCCACAGTCTATTTTTCCTGTAGACATACTTTAAGGTCATTCACGAAATGGCAGAATAGTAATGGCGAAGTTAGCTCCCCTTGGAATAGTCCATTATCAATTTTAAAGAAGTCTGATAGGGAATTTAGGTGTTTAACACAAGATCGTACGTCCTTAACAATTTAAGCAATTTTCCATCAAAACCTTCCTTTATTAGCTTGTACCAGAGACCGTTTCTATATATAGTGTCAAAGCAGTTCTGATAGTCAACTAAAGCAGCATACACCTTTCTATTTTGTGAAGTATACTTCTGTATGATAGTAGATAAATGAAATTATTTTCGTTTCGAACAATACGCAGTTTATGGTATCTGTTATATCTATAGCAAATATTTATGATTTTACGTTAATTCGATTTACTCTGTTGCACATTCCTTTATCATTTTGAACGATTTTCACGTGCGTGTACTGTATATAAGGGAGTATATGTGTAAAAGCGTCACTCGAGGTCTGTATTTGACAGAATACAATTCGTAAAATGACAGAAGAAAGCAGTTCAGATTTAAAGAGGGCTCTTATTGGAGAAATGCAAGAAATTTTCGACCAGAAGTTTTCAGAATTGAAACACGATTTGAAAGCAGAAGTAGACTGGACAGCTGAAACTTCAAGAAAGAAGGTCAGACTTAACAATTCCATATCTTTCTCCAATGCTGGAATTAAGAAGCAATTTGATTTTAACTGTGAAATTTTAAGCTGTTAGAGATTTGTGATAGAGCAGTTAGTAAAAGAGATGCTTCAAAAGCTAAGCAAGTTTTGAAGGAAGCAAGAGAAAAATTAGAGCATAGAAATAAAATTATTCGTATTGCTGATAGTTCCTCAGCTGGGTGGGGTACAGTTAATGAGTATGAGTTGTGTGACTTTGCCTCTGATTCGGATGATGATAGGCGTATTAGAAAAGCAGAGGAAAGAGCTATTAATAAGATTGAAAAACGTAAGAAAGCTGTGTTTTCTGATATTTTTAGCCCTATTGGGCAGTCTTCTTTTCGCAGCTATAGAGGAAACAACCCCTATTCGAGGGGACCAATGGGGCGGCGCTTCGTGCAGTTGGGGGAGGTGGTACGCTATAAATGTGGAGAAATTGGACACCTCGCATCAGGTTGTGCCACCGAATACGGAGTCGCAACATCTAGAATCGGATCTCGTGGTCGTGGAGCATTGGGACCAGTCGCCACACCCTCTTCTCAGTTCAGCCCGCAGCAACAACAACAACAACAATTCATTGTGGACTAAGGCATGCAACAACAACAAACAGCAAATAGAAAGT